TTTTTATTTTTTTTTCTATAAGGTTAGTGTTTTGTCGAGGTAACGCAGGCTGCCTAGTTTATGAGTTTGAATTTTTTTTAATTGAACTTGGTTTTTTTATAGTCTATTTTTTTATATTATTAAAAAAATAATTTAAAAAAAATCATGTTATTAAATTTTATAAAATAATAAAAATTAAAAAATATAACATAAACTGATGTTCACCCAATACTCATGGATTTATATGCCGATCAATCGTGGGTTAAGAAGTTAACAACCTGGTTAAAAAAAATTTATATATATAAAACGTCACCGTTTTAGGTTTTCACTGTCAAACCATTGGCAACAAGATGACATAATCACAGACAACCTAATCTCTGATCAACAAAGCCGCCATATCAGTTGCAAAGAATAGTAGAGGAATTTAAGCCACACGCAGAAGACTTCAAGGCAAGCCATTCCAGGTTTTGTCTTCAGTTTTTTTCACCAAACCTTATGTTTTTGTAAATCATTTCTATCACAATTGATTACTGTTAGGGAGCTGTCTGTGTTTGAGGAGATGTGTGGGCTCTCGCATCTGTGTTGGGTTTGTGCTTGCACTGTGAAGCTTACACATAAAACAAGACTCATCTCCAATCCAAAAACCTAGACTATTGGATCATGAATCCATCTTATATAAGATAAGCATCTCTTTTTCCCCATTCCTTCGTTGAAGTATTTAACACAACTCCCTCTCCTGTAGAAGTATCTAAGCCTTCACATGTAAGCCAGACCCATTCGAACACAACTCCTCCTCTTGTGGAAGTATTTAACATTCCTAATATTATATCTAGAGCTTGGAGCTTAGCTCGTTTGCTTAATCATGGCGAAGTAAACAAAGCTACGAGATTCTAACCACAATCGCCACTCATCCCAAGCCGAACCATAATTTTTTATACCAATTTGTCAAGGAGCTTATACACAAAGATGTTGAGTCATGAGCCAATCTCATATAAAAAAGCACCTCTTTTTTCCGTTCATCTTTTAATTATGAGATAATTACTTCTAATATGTGCACCCAACAATTACATTATAACACTCTACCGATCATCATGGCTGGAATGCATTATCTCAACTAATGTACAAATATCATGTTTTGTGATAGTATACCTGCTTTTCAAATACAAAATGTATAAGCCCTCCTTTTTATCTAACTTAGAAATTAAGTAGATTTCGAATGGTTCATCCGATTTCAGAATGGTTCAAGCTATTTCTTTCCTTCAATCACTGTTTTGAGAGAAGGGAGTTGTATTGTAACTTCGTTAGTCTGATTTTATGTTCAGAAACTGGTTATGCTAGAAAAGCTTCTTCTGTTGCTTCAATTCATTTTGAACCTGTTATAGATCACGTATATCCCCTCCAATCTACTCATAAAAATGACAGAAAAGATTTCTTGATATCTCTGCTAAATATTTTTGAAGAGCGTTCAAGTAAATATTAGGTTGAATACTTATGAGATTATTGCTGAATCTTGTTTCTGTATCTGGCATCCCAGGTGATTCATTTTTCAGCCTCATGAAAAAATAATTACTTGTCTCTTCAGTTTTCTTCTCTCGCAGATTTCTGTTCTCTACTGATTGATTAAGCAAACCAATAACTATACTCTTGGAGAATCGCGTTTTGCAGGTAAACTATATATCCTTTTCTTCTTTACCATTTTTTCTCCGTAGTGGCTTTTTGGCTTTTCTGGTTTCTGATTTCTCGGTAATTCATGTTCCTGAATTTGTTCTCTATCTGCATCTCCCCAGTTTTGAGTCTCTTAATGGGAGTGTATAGTTTTGGCATTTGAAAATCAAGAAGATGATCCGCCATACTGTTGGATGCTGATCGACACAACACTTGCTCGGTTCCCTCCTCCAACCCCACCCTCTTCTCCATACACCACAAATACTTGGATCAAACAACACGATCATTATACATATATGTGGAAACCAGATAGATTCAAGGTCCCAAATTCAACAAAACAACATTCGCAGCAAAACTCTTTGATCTCACTTAGTTCAGAGAGTTGAAAACAAAGCGAGTGATGAAAAAACACCGTCCATTGAAACATATTTAAACATAGAATAGATCAGTTGAACCTTCTAAGTTACCAAATTTCCATTGCAAAATCAGATTTCTATGATTAACCCTTTATTTTCACCTCCAGATTGCAAAATCCCAATCTTATTTTTTTCAAAAAAGGAAACAAACAAACAAACAAAAATTTACAAATCATTTCCTTAAAAAAAAAAAAAAAAAAAGCAAATGTAAAATTAAGTCCATAAAATCACAAAAGAACAAGAATCAAAAGTTGTCAAGAAAAAAACATTAAAAAGAAAGAAAGAAAAGGGAAAAAACAACAAAAAAAAATCCCATGCAAACAACAACAGAATCAGTAACAATCCATCAAGTGAAAAACAAGATCTAACCCAAAATCTTCGATTTCTCTGCAAAAGCAGCACAATTCTACATGCATGCATGCGTATTTAATAAGTGAAGTAAGGTGTAGAGTAAATTACTTACAGTAATGAAATCCTGAGGGGCGACACCAGGAAGATAGAAGGAATGGGATTGATAGGCTAATAACAGCAAAAGCAAAGAAAACTTCGTGTAAGACATTCCTAAGCTGAGCGTGAGAGAAACTCCCGCCATGGCTATTATTGCTAGCTAGCTAGCTACCTAAATCAGATCTCCTCCTAACCTGCTTCTCTTTTCTATCTATCTCTCTCAGTTTTCTTCTTTGGTCACAAGAAATGGAAACGGCAGTGGAGGAGGAGATACGTGGGTGTCTGTGTGCGTGGGCTTTGTTGTGTTGTTTTGCAGTTACCAAAATGGATGCCAATTAATTAATGTTTTTTAGTTGGTGATTAATTAATTATTGATTACTTATTAGTAGTGGCTATGTATTTTTTAGTTCATAAGTTCTCAAATGGGAGATTATTGATTGTTGATGTTCTTGTTTTTCTTTTTGATGTGAGGTCGAGATTAATTGTATCATGGAAATTGAGGGTCCTTTCTTATTATTTTCTCATTTTATAATAATTTTTTTTTTTTTAGTTTTTCTTAGAAAATTAGTGTTGATTACCCTCCTGTTTTGATTATAAAAGAGTGAATGTAGTGTGATGGAGTTTTTTTTTTTTAAAGTATTTTTTAATTAAATATATATATATATAGAGAGAGAGAGAGAGACAGTTTTTTTATTTTTTTATATTAATGTATTGAAATTATTGAAAAATACTTAAAATATATTAATTTAAAATGAGTTTTCCTTTTTGTATTCACTGGTTTCGTTTCTCTTCTTCATGGATGTAAGATAGATTGGAATTGTACATCTTGTTATAGGTGTTTCTTGAAGCAACTGTAACATTATTATTGATATATTAAGAGGATGTTGGAATCCCACTGTGCGCTGTATGTATTTTTCAGCTTCTCCAGATCCATTGAATTCTTAAAGGAGTGAATTGATTCTGACTTCTTCTTTATCAGATATTGTGTTTAGGAGATTTGGTGCAATATTTTGATGTCATTAGCATCGTTAGTACTTACTGTATGTTGAATGCAATAATAAAAAATGAAAGTAAGGTATTTTTTGCTTTTTTTTTTTTTTTTTTTTCATTTGTTGATGTTGATGGGTTTTTCGATTCTTCGTGTAGGTTTTTTGCATCTACACACTCTTTGGTGTTTTATCTTTCCATACTGTTCTTTTTT